CCCTTGGCTGCTACATTGCAAACTATGATCTCCTTGTTCAGGAGACACAAAAAAGAAGCATCTCTGTTTTTCTCCGTCCAATCTTGCAGGAGACGATAGCGAAGGAATTCCAAAGGTCAGGCTGAGCTTTCGGCTGGTTCCTGGACCTGCCTCTCTCCTGCCAGCCACCTTGGAGCCCTCGTCTCTCTCCCTGGGACGGGCGGTGGGCAGGTGTGCGCTCTCTCTGCCATGCGTCGAGGGTCATTCCTTGGTCATGCCGGTGTCGTCATCCTAGACGAACCAAGGCCTCTTTCAGAGGAGCTGATGCTCTTCTCCAGGAGAAGAGGCAAGCACTATTATGGGCTGGGCAAAATTCCAGCTCTCCTGGAAGACAAAGAGGGCAAGGGTGGGAGGGAAGGAGGGGGAGGGGCACAACCCCGTTGAGGTAGCCAGGACTCCTGCGGCAATCTGAAGCCTCTTTGTCTTCGTCCTGGACCCAATTTCCGTGAGATTCCACTGCTGTCAGCAGAGATGAGATGGGCAGCAAGGTTGGAACCCAGACAAGCGCACAGCCAGGAAGGGTCCAGCAGGGCAACCGGGCCCAAGTCCTGTCAGCACCACCAGGCTGAGCTGACAAGCATCCAGAAGCACACAGGGGCGACGCAGAGCCCTCCATCTGCCATCGTGGAAGCGTCTGGCGGCCTGGATTCCTTTAGCTCTCTTCAAGTTTGGCTCTCCAGGACCCTGTTTGGGCAGAGAGGATTTGAAGACACGGAGGGTCTTAGCGAAAGAGCTTGAAGAGGGCAGCTTCAGTGCAAAGGGGGCAGTTTCAGACAAGGCAGGTGGTTTTCTGTGACTGAAACCACTTGAAAGTGGAAGCTCTCATTTCCTGGGTTAAGAGCAGGGAAAGGAAGGGAGAGGGAGGGAGGGAGAGAGGGAGGGAGGGAGGGAGGGAGGGAAGGAGGAAGGAAGGAAGGAAGGAAGGAAGGAAGGAAGGAAGGAAGGAAGGAAGGAAGGAAGGAAGGAAAAGGGTGAATGATTGGATGGATGGATGGATGGATGGAAGGGAGGAAGGAAGGAAGGAAGGAAGGAAGGAAGGAAGGAAGGAAGGAAGGAAGGAAGGAAGGAAGGAAGGAAGGAAAAGAGTGAATGATTGGATGGATGGATGGATGAATGGATGGATGGATGGATGAATGGATGGATGGATGGATGGAAGGGAGGGAGGGAGGGAGGAAGGAAGGAAGATGGGTGAGTGATTGGATGGATGGATAGGAGGAAGGAAGGAAGGAGGAAAGGAAGGAAGAAAGGAAGGAGTGATTGATGAATAGACAGATGGAAGGACAAATGGATGGATGGGCAAATGGATTGGAGGGAGGGTGGTAGACAGGAAGAAAAGAAAAGAGGAAAGGAAGGGAAGGGAAAGGAAGATGTTAGAAGCACTACATTAACTTTTCCCATCTGGATATTTTTCATAATCCCCAGAGAGCGTGGTCCTCTTTCCCACCACCCCTAAAATTGTTTCTCCCGTGTGCATTGAACTGAACAGTATTGCTTTCGACTTTGGGGGAGGGGAAATGCTTCTACCACAGAAGTGAATGGCAGCCCTTCAATCCTGGAGAGAAGGGGAGGCACTCATGCGGAGTGGGGGTGGAGGGGTTCACTGGCACAATCCATCCTAGGCCAGGACAGGTGCCAGCAGGAAGAATCCACAGGTGCAGCATGAAGGCACCAAACCAGAGGTCAATCAGCTCCACCTTCTTCTTCTTCTTCTTCTTCTTCTTCTTCTTCTTCTTCTTCTTCTTCTTCTTCTTCTTCTTCTTCTTCTTCTTCTTCTTCTTCTTCTTCTTCTTCTCCTCCTCCTCCTCCTCCTCCTTTTCCTCCTCCTTTTCCTCCTCCTCCTCCTCCTCCTCCTCCTCCTCCTCCTCCTCCTCTTCTCTTCTTCTTCTTCTTCTTCTTCTTCTTCTTCTTCTTCTTCTTCTTCTTCTTCTTCTTCTTCCTTCTTCTTCTTCTTCTTCTTTCTTCTTTTTTTCCTTCTTCCTTATTCCTTCTTTCTCCTTCCTCCTCCTTCTTCTTCTTCTTCTTCTTCTTCTTCTTCTTCTTCTTCTTCTTCTTCTTCTTCTTCTTCTTCTTCTTCTTCTTCTTCTTCTTCTTCTTCCTTCTTTCTTCTTCTTCCTCCTCCTCCTCCTCCTTCTTCTTTCTTCTTCTTCTTCTTCTTCTTCTCTTCTTCTTCTTCTTCTTCTTCTTCTTCTTCTTCTTCTTCTTCTTCTTCTTCTTCTTCTTCTCCTCCTCCTACTCCTCCTCCTCCTCCTCCTCCTCCTCCTCCTCCTCCTCCTCCTCCTCCTCCTCTTCTTCTTCTTCTTCTTCTTCTTCTTCTTCTTCTTCTTCTTCTTCTTCTTCTTCTTTGCAAAAACAGGTGCCTACAGCGAGGTGGGCTTTGCTACTCCCACTCGCCCCCCCACCTCCAATAGACATGCCTCACGTTTTATCACCCCAGCGCAGAAGTCCAGGCCAGATGTGAGTCCCCAAAGCTTCAGGCACAGCTGGAGACCTCCTAACATCATTACTTAATAATGATTTATAATATGACAGAACGGGAAAAGTATTTCATCCTGGAGATGAATCCGAGCCAACCTTGGCTGATCTTGAAACGCTCAGCAGAGTCCAAGCTGAGTAAGACTCGGAGAGGAGAAAATCCCAAAAGTTGCAGGTCTGAAGGCTAGAAAAGACAAGCCAAAAGCAGCAATGGCCAGATAATTCGGCTTTTACTTGTGCTGCTGCTTAGGTATTCGTTGCTATGTCGTGTCTTTAACAGAATAACAGAGTTGGAAGGGACCTTGGAGGTCTTCTAGTCTAACCCCCTGCTCAGGTGCAGGAAACCCTATACCATTTCAGACAAATGGCTGTCCAGTCTCTTCTTAAAAACTTCCAGTTTTGGAGCATTCACCACTTCTGGAGGCAGGTTGTTCCACTGATTAATGGTGGCAACTGGCTCATATTTATGACGGTTCCAATCCCTTCTTTAAAGCCTCCAGTTTTGGAGCACCCACAACCTCTACAGACAGGCTGTTCCACTGGTTAATTATTCTCACCGTCAGGAAATTCCTCCTTAATTCTAGGTTGCTTCTCTCCTTGATTAGTTTCCCTCCATTGCTTCTTGTCCTGCATTCAGGTGCTTTAGAGAATAGGTTGACCCAGTGGTGAGATTCAAATATGTGAACAACCGGTTCTCTGTGTGAATGCAGCTTCTAAAAGTCCATTCTGGGCCTGGGCAACAAAAAATTAGCTACCAGTTCTGCCGAACTGGTGAGAACTGACTGAATCCCACCACTGGGTTGACCCCCTCTTCTTTGTGGCAGCCCCTCAAATATTGGAGCACTGCTATCGTGTCCCCCCTCGTCCTTCTCTTCATTAAACTAGACACACCTAATTCTTGCAACCGTTCTTCATATAGTTTAGCCTCCAGTCCCCTGATCGTTGCTCTTCTCTGCACTCTTTCCAGATTCTCAACATCTTTTTTATATTGTGGTAACCAAAAATGGATGCAAAATTCTAAATGTAGTCTTACCAAGACATTATAAAGTGGTATTAACACTTTGCGCGATCTGGATTCTATAGCATTAGCAATAGCACTTAGACTTCACATTGCTTCACATTGCTTTACGCCCTTTACAGCCAGTTTACAGAGTTAGCATATTTGCCCCCCAACAATCTGGGTCCTCATTTTACCGACCTCGGAAGGATGGAAGGCTGACTCAACCATGAGCCAGTGAGAATCAAACTCCTGGCAGTGAGCAGTGAGTTAGCTGCTTTCTCTCTGTTAATGCAGCCTAGGATCGTGTTGGCTTTTTTGGCAGCTGCAGCATGCTGCTGGCTCATAGTGGAAGGATTGTCTACTACAGTGGTTCTCAACCTTTTTAATGCCGCGACCCCCAACCGGTCGTAAGTCGAGGACTACTCAACCAGGTCGTAAGTCGAGGACTACTCAACTGGTGCAGCACCGTTTGCAGAATGGGACTTTTGGCGGGCTCAGCAGGGCAGAGACAGCCTGGACAATTCCTATTGTCTTTTGAAAGCCAATAGAATTAGACTCTATTCAAGAGAGTCTATTCTATTGGCTTTCAAAAGCCAATAGAATAAAAGGGAGTAGCACAGCTAAAGAAAAGGGGGAAAAATGGCGGACTGCGTTGTTTGGCGACCCCCGTGAAATGGTCGTTCGACCCCAAATGGGGTCCCGACCCACAGGTTGAGAACCACTGGTCTACTAGGATTCCAGGATCCCAATGGCCCCCAAAGTCCTCAGAAGCTAAATTCAAGGGGGACTTTTCCGTCGTTTTTTTAATGACATTAACTGAAAAGCATTGGAAGTGTTGAAGGAAAAGTCTTCATCATGGTTCAGTCCAAGCCGGGAATAAACAACATGGCGACTGCTTTAGAAAGAAGGTTGCAGTTTATTGAAGAGGAGAGCCAGACAGGAAGATGGCTCTGGAAGAAAAGAGAGTGAGTACATGTAGGGAGTCGGTTTTTATACCCTCTGGAGCCTTTTGTTTGAAGTTGTTCCTGTGGTATGAACTTTGATTTGAGTCTGAGGGTGCCCTTTGGCATCTGTGGGTTAATCCTATTATGTCCTGTCTTAGAGTTTGGGTGGGGTATATAGATTTTAGATGTCTTTGTCTTCCTAAGCTTCTAGCTGGGGGCCTCCAACCTTCCTGGATTATTTACATCTGCATTTCTACCGAGTTGGTTTCTATTTGGGGGAGGGAGACTTGGGGTTATTAAGAAAACTGGCCATGCTTTTCTGCCTCTTTAAGATCCTTTGAGGAAATATATTGTTCTGCCCTTTTAATATTTCCTTCTCTGGGGGGCTGACTTCCCACAGAAGGATTTGATGCTTCCATTCTAAGTGACAAAAGCAGCATTACATTGTCACAATGCAAGCCCCACCCCTTTTATATGTGCAAGTGCAACATTGTGATGCGCATATGAAAGAGGTTGAGCATCTGAAACAACAATGTAACACCAATCTTCTAATTTGCTCTCCTTTTGAACTTCTCTATAATCACCTCTAGTTTAGCTTGACAGTAAAGGCACACCTCATTTCATTGTGTTTTGCTTTATTGCACTTCGCAAATATTGTGGTGTTGTTGTTTTTTTACAAGAGTTTCCACCAGCAAAAAGATTACAACTTCCTGAAGGCTCAGGTGGCGATTAGCGGGGGTGTTTTTTAGCAATAAAATATTTTTAATTAAGGTATGTGCATTGTGCTTTTCTTAAACATAATGCTATTGCACACTTAATAGACTACGATATAGGGTAAACAGAACTTTTATATGCACTGGGAAACCAAAAAACAAATTGTGTGACTCACTTTATTGCAATATTCACTTTATTGCAGTGGAACTGGAACTGAACCGGCAATATCTCCGAAATATGCCTGTATTTTAATACGAATTTTTCAGACGGTAAAACTCAGTGAAATTAAAGCAACTTCATCTTTTAACCCGGCTCCTGTCAATGTTTTTGGAACGTGGTCTCCGAAATCCACAGAGGCTGAGACCTTGGCTTGGAAGAACATTGAACTCAGGTATGGTAGAATCAGGGTTATCTGCAGGATGGGGTCAAAAAAGTCTAACCCAGGGGTCTTCAAACTTGGCCCTTTTATGACTGGTGGACTTCAACTCCTAGAATTCCTCAGCCAGGCACTCGTGCCTGGCTGAGGAATTCTGGGAGTTGAAGTCCACCAGTCATAAAAGGGCCAAGTTTAAAGACCCCTGCTCTAACCCCAACCCTCAATTTTTTAAACAAAATACCTTGAAAAACAGAGAAGGGGGTGTGTAACCTGAAGATGGGCTTAGACACAAGTATACAGGCAATCCTCAACTTACAATCACCCTCAGAACTAAAACTTCCATCATTAAGCAGTCCCACCCAATTTTGCGACCTCTTTTGCTGCAGTCATTAAATGAAACGTCATGTCATTAGGTGAATCACGCAGTTGTGAGGTGAATCTAGCTTCCCTGGTCGTCATCTACTTGTCAGAACCCCCCTGGGAAGGTTGCAAAGGCTGATCACGCAACCTTGGGGCTCTGTATCAGTCGCGAGAGGGCCTGTCACTTTTTTCAGCTCCATCGTCATTTCCAATGGACACTAAACGAATAGTCATCAGTTGAGGACTACTGCATATGGGAAACTTAGTGTAGTATATTTGCCAGTGTAGGCCTATCCGTGGATGAGCCGAGCTCAATTTTCAGGGTGCCTTTTGGCAGCAAAAATTCTTGCCTTATCTGCAAATATATACAGTTGTTGAAATTTTGGGCTAGAATTCGTCCTGTGTTCGGATCTTGCTCAGTTGCAAATTCTGTTCTCTCAGCCTGCCCACCAAAGGAGTGGTGTATAAATAAATACAGGGAGGGGGGTAGTTCATGCCAGGATTTCTTTGGAAGGAGCACGCAGGGCACAAGCCCTGAAGGGTCCTTTCACGTTAATGTGTGAGGAATATTTATTTTTCATAATGTTAATGTTTTTGTGCTGTAAGCTGCCCAGTGTCGCTTCAAAATGAAATGGAGGGCAAATAAATTTCAGGAAGAAAGGGAGGGAAGGAGGGAGGAAGGAAGGAAGGAAGGAAGGAAGGAAGGAAGGGAAGGAAGGAAGGAAGGAAGGAAGGAAGGAAGGAAGGAAGGAAGGAAGGAAGGAAGGAAGGAAGGAAGGAAGGAAGGAAGGAGTGGGATGAAGAAAGGGAGGGAGGGAGGAAGGAACGGGAGGAAGGAAGGAAGGAAGGAAGGAAGGAAGGAAGGAGCAGGATGGGATGGAGGGAGGAAGGAACAGGATGAAAAAAAGGGAGGGAAGGGAGGGAGGGAGGGAGGGAGGAAGGAGGGGAGGGGAGGGAGGGAGGGAGGAAGGAAGTGGGGGAAGTGTTAGAAGTAAAGTCTTCATCCTGGTTCATCCAAGCCGGGAATAAATAAGCAAACATGGCGACTGCTTTGGGAAGAAGGTTACAGTTTATTGAAGAAGCAGAAAGATGGTTCTTCAGGAAAGAACAGAGGAGAGAATGGTTGAGCACATGGTGTTGTAGGTTTTTATATCCCCTCTAGCCTTTTGTTTGGAATAGTTTCCTGTTCCTGTGGCATGAACTTTGAGGCTATTTCCTGTGCCACGTATTCTGACCTGAGTCTAGGTGTGCCTCTATGGTATACTTGATGGTAATGGGTTAGTCCTATTATATCCCAAAAGTCATCTCCTGCTTCCCTGGGGCTGGGCTAATGACTCTTAAGAGTTTCTTTGTCTTGAGTTCCCTGGCTCCAACCTAGGACTGGAGCGACAGTGCGCGTGCCCACAGAGAGGGCTCTGAGTGCCACCTCTGGCACCCGTTGCCATAGGTTCACCACCACTGAGCTATTGCATTTCATTAGAGCAGCAGTGCCTGGCAAATCTCCTGGGGGTTCCCATTGCTGGCAAATCTCCTGGGGGTTCCCATTGTCTTCTCCCCCCTAATGGTCTTATATCTGCATTTCTATGAGGTTAGCTCTTGCTTGGGGCAAAGAAATTTGGGGCCAGGTTTGGTTTCTGCTTTTCAAAAAATCCTTTTGGTGAAAAATATATTTTCCTTTTTAATATTTCCTTCTGGGGGGGCTAACTTCCCTCAGAAGGAAGGAGTGGGATGAAGAAAGGGAGGGAGGGAGGGAGGAAGGAAGCAAGCAAGCAAGCAAGCAAGCTTATCTAAGCTCACTGGGTAACTGCCATCACACAGCATATTTAACCCGATTATAGACTGAACCCCTTTTCTGGAACGGCACAATCCACTCAATTCTAAACTAGCCGAAACAGCTGTATTCACACCACACATCCTGCCACAAACTATCCAGGTTAACACTAAGCAATTCTGGCCTGTCAGGCGAAAGATTTTGCTAGGCCTTCACCTGATTCTTCAGGAGGCGCTTGAACACAGCCAGTGAATCGAGGGCTGAGATAAGAAACAAACCAGACCCTCCCCGTTTCTCCCCACAGCCCAGTTCTGACTTCTCTGGATGGTCCCATCCCTTCTGATGCCAACCTCACCCTTGGCTCCTGGACCCGCTAATCCCCTTTGCCAGCATGATGAAATGGGTCTGGATCTTGTTCCAGCCTTGCTTGGGTCTCTCCTGCCGATGGAGGAAGGACCAGCTCCGGCTATTCCCCTGCCTGCAGCGATGAAGGGGTGACTGGAATGGCGTATTACGGCTCTCCCCTCCACCCACACACCCCTCAATAGATGGCAGGCTGAATGGCTCTCCTGACAGCTTGCTGGTGGAAAGGGCACAGATGGGGGGAGGGGGGAGAAGACAATGGGAACCCCCAGGAGATTTGCCAGCAATGGGAACCCCCAGGAGATTTGCCAGGCACTGCTGCTGTAATGAAATGCAATAGCTCAGTGGTGGCGAACCTATGGCAACGGGTGCCAGAGGTGGCACTCAGAGCCCTCTCTGTGGGCACGCGCACTGTCGCTCCAGTCCTAGGCCTTCAGCTGGGTTTTATAAAACCTTTTTGCTTTAGGCCTCCGCCGCCGTGTGCAAAAAAAAAAAAAAAGGTTCAATCAGTCAATTTCAACTTCTCGCGGGAAAAAAAAAGATCTTGCAAAGTTAAAATTGATTGATTGAACTTTTTAGTCCCACCCAGTCTGCCATTAACACCGCAGCCACACCCACCCAATTGGCCACACCTATCCGGCACCCGACAATACATAAGTGGGTTTTGGGTTGCAGTTTGGGCACTCGGTCTCTAAAAGGTTGGTCATCACTGCAATAGCTCATCCCAAAGGTGCTTTTTCAAGTGGCAACTGGACTTTCTTTATTTTTCCTTGAAGATGTTTCACTTCTCATCCAAGGAGCTTCTTCAGCTCTGATTGGATGGTGAGGAAGGGAAGGATTTATATTCCTTGCAGATAGCTGGTCATTTGCCTTCTTTTAGCTCTCTGTTTGTGGACAGACAGGACCGCTGGTTTGAATGGAAACCAAACCACCACTTCATAAATGCATGGCACAACATAGGAGAACAAACCCATCAGGACAAGATTCAGCAGTCCATCTCACTTAGAAGACAAAGGCCGCTCTTTCAAAGATAGCAATGTTCACATTTTGGATAGAGAGGACCGCTGGTTAGAAAGAGGGGTCAAAGAGGCCATCTATGTCAAAATTGAACAGCCCTCCCTCAACATAGGATACGACATCATCTACCTCCAGTCTACAACACAGTCCTCTCAGCAGTCCCAGGAAGGCTCCACACCCATTTGCACCAGTCAGGTGACCCTGAGGACACAGATGGCCTCAATGACTCTCTCAAAGAATGCAAATGACCAGGGGTCTGCAAGGAGTATAAATCCTTCCATTTTCCTACCGTCCGGTCAGAGCTGAAGAAGCTTCTTGGATGAGAAGCGAAACGTCTTCAAAGAAAAACAAAGGAAGTCCATCTGCCTCTTGAAAAAGCTCCTTTGGGACAACCATGACCTGTTTGACGGAGAATCTCCATAGACATTTGTGAAAATGGTGTACAGGTAGTCCTCGACTTATGACCACAATTGACCCCCAAATTTCCATTCTAAGCAAGGCCATTTTTAAGTGAGTTGCACTCCATTTTACGACCTTATTTTTGCCATGGTGTTAAACCAATGACTTTGCTTGTCGGAAGTCAGCTGGGGTGGTTTTTATAAATGATGATCCCGTGATCCCATGGGTATGCTGCAAGGGTCCTGTAAAAAATGTTCATCATTTGTCATTTCCAATGGTAATCAATTTTTGTTGTAATGGTTGTTTAATGACCATTTGTTTAATGACCATTGTATCCCAGGTTTACCTAATGGGATACAATGACCATTTGTTTAATGACCTATCTGTATCCCAGGTTTACCTAATGGTGAGTCAGAGGGCAAAGACCGGGTTTCCTTCTGCAGTTCATTAAGTGAACAACACAGTTGTTAAGCAAAGGGATGGTCTTTAATCAAAGCTGTTGTTGAAAGAAAAATCTTCATCGTGGTTCAGTCCAAGCCGAGGATAAATAACATGGCGAGTGCTTTAGAAAGAAGGTTGCAGTTTATTGAAGAGGAGAACCAGACAGAAAGATGACTCTGGCAGAAAAAAGAGAGAGAAAAAGGGCTGAGCACATGTAGGGAGTGGGTTTTTATACCCTCTGGAGCCTTTTGTTTGGAGTTGTTTTCTGTTCCCTGCTTTAAGGCTTTGTATTTCCTGTGTCATGTATTTTGACCTGTGTCCTTTTGGCATTTGTGAGTTAATTCTATTATGTCTTGTCTTAGACTTTGGGTTGGGTATGTAGATTTTACATGTCTTTGTCTTTCTAAGCTTCTAGCTTCAACCTTCCTAATGGTTTACATTTGCATTTCTATAGAGCTGGTTTCTGCTTGAGGAAGGTAGACTTGGGGCTATTAAGAAAACTGGGCATGCTTTTCTGCCTCTTCAAGATCCTTTGAGGAAATATATTTTTCTGCCCTTTTAATATTTCCTTCTCTGGGGGGCTGATTTCCCACACTGTTTTCACTTTAACTGCCAGAAACTGCCAAAAAAATACCAAAACCCACAGCCAAGTGACCACAGATGCTGCAAACAACTGTACAGGCAAGCCCAGTTGCCAAGGGCCCACAATGTGATCATGTGACCAGGGAGAGTGTGATCATCAGAAATTCAAAAATGGGTCATAAATACCCTGGGGAGGTCTGTCATAACTTCAAACGGTTTCTAAGTGATCAGTCATTAAGCAAGGAGTATCTGTCAACGTCAAAAACCTGGATGCATTCATTTAGCCAGCCTCACTGCCTCAAGATTTGATGGCTGCCTTTATATATCACACTAAGCCTGGTTAGTTTGAAGATTTGTTGATTTTTTTTTTTTCAGTTTAGCCTGGTTAACCAATATAATGCAGTGTTGCATTTCGGCAAAGCATTGCTGAGGGGAGAGTCTGTAGAGTACGTGCACAGCATTGGGTTGAGTCCATTTCCAAGGCTGAATCTGGTGGCAAATACAAAGTTAGAATTAGCATATCTGCAAAACTTCAAGTGGCCACTAGCTGGTAGCAGAGAGTTAAAGAGTTAATCAGTGCATCCCTTTGCTGCCCTCTAATGGTCAACCAGATTTTGCAGAGTCCAGATGAGTTGCACCACCAATCTTTCTCAAGGTGAGTTGTGCCAATCCAGAATGCAAAGGACTGTAAGGCAGGCTGAATGCCGAAGACTTGAAGCTTTCAAATTGCGACGTTGGACAAGATTCTTGAGATTCTCTTGCAATGCAAGGCAATCAGATCAGTCAATCCTAAAGGCTGTCCTTTAGAAAAACAGATACTCAAGCTCAAATCCTTTGGCCACCAAATGAGAAAACAGGACTCATTGAAAAAGACCCTGGGAAAGATGGAAGCAAAAGGTGAAGGGGACGGCTGAGGATGAGATGGTTAGATGGTGTCATTGATGCAATGAACGTGAATTTGGGCAAACTCCAGAAGACAGTGGAGAACGGGGGGGGAGGGGGCTGGCATGCTGTGGTCTATGGGGTAAGAATCAGACATGACTTAGCAACTGAACAATAACAACCAAAACAAAGGTCAGGGGACTGGGGGCTAAAACATGTAAGGAATGGTTGTTGGAATTGGGTATGTCTAGTTTGATGAAGAGAAGGACGAGGGGGGGACATGATAGCAGTGTTCCAATATCTCAGGGGCTGCCCCAAAGAAGAGGGAGTCAAGCTATTCTCCAAAGCCCCTGAAGGCTGGACAAGAAGCAACGGATGGAAACTAATCAAGGAGAGAAGCAACCTAGAACTAAGGAGAAATTTCCTGACAGTGAGAACAATTAACCAGTGGAACAACCTGCCTCCAGAAGTTGTGAATGCTCCAACACTGGAAGTTTTAGGAAGAGACTAGACAACCATTTGTCTGAAATGATATAGGGTTTCCTGCCTGAGCAGGGGTTTGTACTAGATGACCTCCAAGGTCCCTTCAAACATTATTATTATTATGGATCATCGCACAGTCAGCCAGATGTTCAGACTGGATTTGGCATTTTGTCTACCTATCGAGTCCTTACCCAGGACCTGGGATAGGCAGATGTGGATGTTTGATGGTATTACAGATATCGTCGCAGGATGGATGCAGTTCCTAGTAAGGCCACCTTTTGCAATTGACTAATAGCGAATTTGTCAATGCCAATGGTGTTCAAGTGGTGCTCCAGTTTTATCATTATTATATTATTATTATTATATTATATTATATTATTATTATATATATAATAATAATATATAGTAATTATATCATTATTATCATTATCATCATTATCCTCATTATTATTACTGTATTATTATTATTAAGGGCCTGACTGTGGCCAGGCCAAGCCACCCCATAGACTTAAACCATATTTTGCAATCCCAGCTTGATTGACGAGTTTACAGTTCAACAAACAAGCAACGTTGAGTCAATAATTAAGAGCTGTACTGTAATGGGCCTGTTTGGGTTTCCTGGACAGTCAGTTACCTGATCTCAAGGTCTCTTACTTCAGCATTGACACATATAGATTGCAACTGCTACCTGAAAGGCCTTTAAGAACTGCCAGTCCCCAAGAAGAGAAATGGTTTTCTGCAATTCAGTGAAGAAAGAGAGAAGCAATAGATTTTAATTACTGGAAGGTGCCTTGATGGTGTACATATAGAAAGGGGTAGCAGCCTTCTGGAGACAAAAGAGAGATCAAGGATAGGGTCCCCCGGCCCATTAGCCAGACCCGCTGCAGAATCTGACGTATTCAGACAAAATAGCTTTGAAATCGAAGTGGCCACTCTAAGCATAACCTATTTATAATCCTTGGCATATGATCCTTCGTTATTCTCTTTTCATCAGATGTTTATTAAGAGCCAAGCAGCAGCGGATGTCAAAGGCATCTTTGCATTTAATGTGCAGGTCTTCGGAAAGGCAGATGTAGTGGCAAGCAAAGCTGATGGTTTCCAGGGCTGGAACAAGCCAAGATGGAGACGAGAGATTAACTCTTTCCTTCCGAATTTCAGATCGGGGAAGGGGGAACTTGCTTTGCATTAAGGTGAAATCGCCCCTTGGCGCTGACGTGAACTGCATTTCATTAATTAAAAAAAAAGAAAGAAAACAATTAAAAGTCCATCGCTGAAAGGCCTCTAACGTTCTAATCGGGTCCCAAAGAAATCAGCCGTTTCAGCATCTCCCGAATTGGACTGAAGTCTTGCCAAGCCGCACTGGAGGGTCACGGAAGTGCTGAGTGTGGTAAGATGTAGATCTGTACAGAGGTGATTCTTCTAAAGAAGACTGTCTCTTCTCCCAGCTCACTCCACTCCAGAATAAGAACAGAACAGAATAACAGAGTTGGAAGGGACTTGGGAGATTTTGTAGTCCAGGGGTCTTCAAACTTGGCCCTTTTATGACTTGTGGACTTCAACTCCCAGAATTCCTCAGCCTGGCTGAGGAATTCTGGGAGTTGAAGTCCACAAGTCATAAAAGGGCCAAGTTTGAAGATCCCTGTTCTAGTCCATCCCCCTGCTCAGGCAGGAGACCCTATATCATTTCAGACAAACAGCTGAGCACCCCCCATTTTTGGAGGCAAGTTGTTCCACTGGTTAATTGTTCTAACTGTCAGGAAGTTTCTCCTTAGTTCTAGGTTGCTTCTCTCCTTGATTAGTTTCCATCTATTGCTTCTTGTCCTGCCTTCAGATACTTTGGCGAACAGGTTGACCCTTTCTTGTTTGTGGCAAGATGTTGGAACATTGCTATCTTGTGAACCCTAGTCCTTCTTTTTATTAAACTAGACATACCCAATTCCGGCAACCGCTATTGCATTAATGATGATGATGATGATAATGATGATGATGTTGGAAGGGACCTTGGAGGTCATCTAGTCCAATCTCCTGCTCAGGCAGGAAACCCTATACCATTTCGGACAAATGGCTGTCCAGTCTCTTAAAAACTTCCAGTGTTGGAGCATTCACCGCTTCTGGAGGCAGGTTGTTCCACTGGTTAATTGTTCTCACTATCAGGAAGTTTCTCCTTAGTTCTAGGTTGCTTCTCTCCTTGATTAGTTTCCATCCGTTGCTTCTTGTCCTGCCTTCAGGCGCTTTGGAGAATAGCTTGACTCCCTCTTCTTTATGGCCACCTCTGAGATATTGAAACCCTGCTATCATGTCACTCCAGTCCTTCATTTCATTGAGCCAGACAGACACAATTCCCTGACCTGGGGCTGCAAGACGGTGGCTGGGAATGATGGGAGCCGTAGTGCAATGCAATTTGGAGGGCGCCGAAGGACGGAAACCTCGGTCCCGTTGGCAGAAATAGGCCCGAATTGGCTTTCAGTGCAACAACAATAACAACATCCCCTTCCTCTGGTTATCTAGATCTTTTCATTTTCATGGCTTCTGATGCTCAGTCAAGCGGAGGAAGAAAAGACTGCCTTGTGGCAGGAAATGTTGACAGCTTGGCATTTTGGAGACCTTGACCATCGGGGAAACAAGACAAGCTGACAAGGTGAGCTTTTCCCTCTGCGATCCTAGCTTGCCTCTCTCCCCTCCTGCCCAAATTACGCCTCTTCCTCATGTGGGTGGTTTGGGGGAGGTGGTATCCATACTGGGGCTTTGATCTCTTGCCTTTCATTTCATTCTCCCGATCAGCCTGACATACAGAAACCAGGATGCTTTTGGTAGCAGCTTTGATGCCTTTGGGATTCAGCTCTAAACTCCACATAGGGCCTTTTTAAGAGATCACGCAATTACAGGATCATAGGGCTGGGAGGGACCTTGAGGGTCTTCAACCCTCTACCCATGGCAATTGTGAAATATGGTCATAATTCACCTTGTTTCAGGGCCATTGCAACAGTCTGAATGGTCACTAAATGAATTGTTAAGTCACAGACTACCTGCAGATGAATAAGCACTACGTATAGTAGTGGCCAAAATTTTGGAAACCTTTTGGGAAAAGTGTGCAGTAGAAATGCCACCTTTGGTTAAGTTTCCATCCATTTTTCTTCAAATTTCTTTATAACTGTAGCCTTGTTCACTTAATAATACTATTTCTGGGCAACCAGTCAACTCTTTGCACCATTCCTTTAATTTTATTACATTTTACAAGTTCGCTAAATGAAAGAACACAAAAAAACCCCAACCAACTTGATAGCGATCACATAACACACTGACCAATGTCCTCCTCTCGGCTTCAATACATGACATCAATAACTGGATACTACTGTGATCTGATTGGCTCATTGCCAAAACAAGACGACACCCAATTGGCTCTCTAAACACTCATGCTCATTGGCTACAATCAGATGAAGGAAAGCTACCTGATATCAACCTGAGCAAGTTGTGCTTCCTTTTTTCTGGTGATTTGGCTATAACTTTTCATAGAATACAGTACAGATAATTGAACAAACTATGTTGCATTACATTCTTGATTAAATTATCTTTCCATTGATATATAATTTTACTACTCCCCCCAAAAAAGTGGTGTTATTGGCTATCAAACCTCAAAAATACACTTTTCTTCCCAAAAGGTTTCCACAATTTTGGCCACTGCTGTATAAACATGAGGGAAAGTAACAGCGTTCTGTGTTTCGACATATGGTCTGTGCTGTGGCATCATGTCATGTTGGCTACATGACCACAGAAATGTCTTCGGATCACGCCGGCTCTTTGGCTTAAGAAACAGAACTGGCACCACCCTAGTCTAAAGTCAGTTCACAACTAGCAGAACACTGTTTCCTCCGGGTGCAGATTTTGACATTTCTCTCCATCCCGTTCCATCTTACTCATTACAGTCCACCGCTCAAGCTGGCCTAGCTTTTTCTGAATTGTGCCTTTTCTCTCCTATAGTCCTCTGAATTTTGTGTCGTCTCCAGATTTGATAATTTTTCCTTTACCTCCATCTGTTATTAACAAAAATCTTGGAATTGCACAGGATCCAGGACAGAGCCCTATGCCCCTCCACTCAAAAGCGCTCTCTGAGCTGGATTGAAAATATTTATGAGTACGTTCTGAGTGCAGTCACCCAGCAAACTGTGAGCATAATGTGCCCTGATGGTTAATTCGGAAACCAGGTTAACTGGAGGCAAACGCACAGCAGCCCAGTGTACGGTGTAAAATACAGTCATTACGCAGGACAATTTTGCAAAAGCTATCTTTTGACATAAGGAGGGAAAGACCCAATTTAGCACTACGAAAGGATCCAGATGGAAGAAGAAGTTTTCTCGTGATAAATTTAAACTTCATCTTTGAAAGAAACCAAGTCACCCTGCAGCCAGTCCAAAAAATCAGAAGTGGGCAGATGGTGGGATCTAGTTCAATTTGGAATAAAATTTCCAGATCTGCCAGTTCACAGCCAGATGCAAAAATCATGCCTTTCACTTCAGAGCATTCTGATCCCAGGAATTTGTTCTGGGTGCCAGCTCTTATTGCCCACAAAAATCTACTCCTGGTTATTCCCAACCTTTTTTTTTTTTAACATCAGCTGTATAATTTAGTTGGCTACTTTTGTTAAAAAGTAAAGGTCTGGGGAGATTCTTCATCATCCAAGGTCATGGTTGTCCCAAAAAGCAACTGGACTTCTCGTTTTTTTCCTTTGAAAAAGTTTCACTTCACATCCCAGAAGCTTCTTCAGTTCTAAGAAGTAAAGGATTCACCTAGATTAGGTTAACATTCTCTACTGCAGCCATATGAAGCCACAGGGATGGAAAAGTGACCACCGGCATAGGATGACCCCCCACAGTGCAAATCTTACCCTAACATGCTTGTGTGTTGACATCTAATGCAAGTAACATGAACTTTAGGTTTATATCATGGCAGCCCCCCCCCAACACCTGTGTTCTGCATGCAATCAGCTCCAGAACATCAACACCTCGTTGCAAAACAACTGTTTGCTCCAAGTTTGAAGTCCCCTGCATTAGTCAAACTGATTTTGAGCTTAATGATAGCTTTAATTTTGCCTTGTTTTCTCACCATAAGAACATAAAGTTTTTAATGTGTATGTTCTGTAAAATCACCTTGACTGTTGTATGGGCAAAGAGTCAGGATATGAATGAATGAATGAATGAATGAATGAATGAATGAATGAATGAATGAATGAATGAATGAATGAATTGCAAAACCTATGAAAGAATCAAGGTGCGTTCCATTTCTCCTTTGTATTAATAGCTCGTTCATTCATACAAACCCCGCTCAGCTCAAGGCAGCATGAAAAAGTATGCCTTTCCCATCAAGCTTTTCACTGCTGTTATTTGGAGTCCTCTTTTAATGATATTGGTTTGGTTTTCAATCTGGATCCTATAGATTATGTTTTATGAAGCCCTCTTGTGTGCTTACGCAGGCAGAGAGGTGGGATAGAAGATAAAAATTAATCTGAATTCTCAGAACGTTGAAGGTGACTTTATTATTATTAGACCATTAATTAAAGAATTGTTTTACAGGTAGTTCTCGGGTGATGACCACAGCTGAGCCCAAAATTTCTGTTGCTAAGCAAGACAGTTGTTAAGTGAATTTTCCCTCATTTTAGGACTTTTCTTGCCCCACTTGTTAACTTAGTAAAATGGTTGTTAAGTGAATCTGGCTTCCCAATTGACTTTGTTTGTCACAAGGCCGCAAAATGTGATTATGTGAACCGGGAAATTGAGGACCTTGGTGCTCTCTGAGCTGGGTTGTTTTCTTGCAGACATTTCATTGCCAAACCAGGTAACATGATCAGTGCTAGAAGGGAGTGGGATTTTTCCCTTATTTTTATACACTAGTGCAGACATGTCAAACACAAGGCCCGGGGGCCGGATGCGGCCCGCAAAGTGGTTTCATGTGGCCCGCAAAGCCATCCAGGAAACAGTGAGGGAAACGGCCCCTGCTGCCTAGACCCTGGCCCAGGCCAGCCGGGAGCCAATGTACAATTTTGTGGCGGCCATCTATGCTGAAACACATTCAGTCTTAGCTCCACAAGACCGTCTAGAAACAGCAAGGAACCAGCCCCTGCCGTGTCGGCCCCACCCCCTGGGTGCATGGTGGGGAGGTGTCACCCTTTGTGAGGAATGAAGAAATGGACCATGCTTTGGCGCTTGCCCCGGTCCCACCCCCTTCTGCCAGAGACCCTCAGATCTGTCCCACTCCTGCCCAGGCCCCCACAGGCACCCTTGACGCGAACGATGTAGAGCTGGCCATGCCCACCCAGTAGGCCACACCCACTCCATCCACGCCCACCCAGTAGGCCGCACCCACCCTGGCCACCACCCCCCACGGCAACCGCAATGCTGACATGGCCCTCAATGAAATTGAGTTTGACACCCCTGCACTAGTGGCTTGCCCTGTCAGTGTTGGAGGGAGTTTTCTTGGAGGTTCCTTGATTAAATTGTTGTTTATTATTAGTTCGTTTATCTGAGTTGGTAGTTTCTTGACTGGACTATTGTTTACTGCTTGATTGTTGTTCTAGCATTAATCTTGGTATTAATCTCTGCTTGTCTGAGTATTGATTACTGACGAGGAAGCATTTTGGTCTTTTTATTTTGTATTGTTTTGCTTTTTTTATTGTCCCATACTGTCCCTGATAGCATGTAGATGTTGTTTGTCTCTGTGTGTCTATGGATGGCTGATTGTCAGGGTGCCATGCTTCCTAGAATTCTCCAGCATTTTTGAATTTAGGATGTTCCCAGTTTCCCAGTTGAAACTATAGTTACGTTTGTCCATGTGATGTGAAATTAAGGGAAAAAAAAACCCTCTCCCTTCTAGCACTGATGATGTTACCTTCATGGGTAATGAAACGTCTGCAAGAAAACAACCAAGCTCAGCGAATACCAACAACCTCACAGTTCATCCCTGAGCTGTAAATTTTCTATCGGTGTGATGAAAAGTAATCCTTGTTCTTTAGCCCTTTCCTCTATAACTCTTTCATTTGTTCTTCCATTTTTAATATCCTAGTCTGGTCTTCTCCAGATTCTTCTCCAGTTTGACCATCACAGGCTGCTACAAATGATTTTCTTTCATACTTCAGCCATCCAAAGAGCACCCAGGTAGCACCTTAAGAAGAGATCGATATTCTTGGGAGAGAACTGTTTACTTACAATGATGGCTTAGTTCTGAACGGACGGCTTATAGAGTTGGGAAACAGCATGCTCCAAATTTAGAAGCTGTCAGGTGGAGAGAATTTTTCTTGGAAGTCCAACTGAAAGATGGGATCCCTGCCCTGTTTGTCATCCTTGTGGGAAATAGAAGGAAGTTGCCTTTTCTGAAGAGATGAAAGGTGTAGGAAGCATTGAGCAGAGATAGAATTTACCTTTTGAGTCTGGGAATTGCGGGTCCAATCGGAGTGCAATTCTGCCATCTCCTGGACATGCGTACAAAGAGCTCTCCATAGCTGCTCTCCCCAATTAAGTACTTTGCCGATGTTTGGGACTTGCTTCAACCTTTCAACAGAGTTTGTCAACAGTGGCCACTTTAAGATGTGTGGACTTCAACTTTATGCCTTAGACGGGACTAGAACTCACAGTCTCCTGGTTTGTTGGCCAAAAAAGATAGCCAGCCAGATTTCATACTTAAGGCAGGATTAGAATCCACAGTTTCCTGGTGATTGGCCCAAAGTCACTCAGTCGGCTTTGATGCCTAAGGCAGAACTAGAATTCACAGCTCCTGATTTCTAGCCTGAAGCCATAACCACTACACCAGTGGTGGCGAACCTATGGCACACGTGCCAGAGACGGCACTCAGAGCCCTCTCTGTGGCCACACGGGCCATGCCCCGGAGATGGCAACCATCCCTCTTCAACCAGCTGCCCGCTAACTCACCGAGGTCCCGCGTGGTCGGATCCGTTCCAGCATGGCTGGTTTCCCTCCCCACTGTCCCATCCCTCCTGGCCTCGCATGCTCTCCTTTTCCCTGGCACGGCCCACCACATGGCCTTCTCAGCTGTCGGCTGGCCTTCCACCTCAGAGGTAGCTTCTCTGAATTGCTGGTGACGGGCTGCAGAGCCCCAGAGAGCACCGGTTGAGGGGCCGGCAGGCTGTGGCTGCTGACGGACATTGTCGGCCCCATGCACTTGCTGGCCTCTGGTGGCTGATGGTGTCAGGCAGCAGCCACCCTGGCCCCTGCCTCGCCTTGCCCTTTGACAATGGCACCCCCGCCCTGCCTCACCTTGCTTTGCCCCACCCCACAGGATGAGCCTCTTGCCCATTGCCCCACCTGCCAGAGACCCCCTGGATCTCCCCCAACCCTATCCAGCCCCCACAGGTGTCCCTCCCCACGAGCAACATTGAGGTGACCACGCCCACCTTGGCCACACCCACCCAGTCTGCCATGACCACCACAGCCGTGCCCACCCAGTGGGCTATGCCCACCTGGCACTCGGCGATAAATAAGTGGGTTTTGGGTTGCAGTTTGGGCACTCGATCTCTAAAAGGTTCGCCATCACTGCACTACACCAAAGTGGCTCTCCGTGAAGTCATTTTATATCAATTATAATTATACCAATGATATCAACTTAGGAAGCCTAGAATTAGCATCACTTGTGTGATGGAATGTAGTTCGGATTCCCAGGCGGGAGGGGGTGCATTCCAGAGGAGCAAGAGACAACTCCGTTCAGACAGTTTGTGTGAGAGAAAGAGGATAAAGACAGGTCCTCCTTAATAGTTCCCAGAGTATATGATAGATGGGAGTGCCAGCATGCTTTAGTACGGCAAGATCCTGTCTTATGCATGAAGATCTGCTTGAAGAATTACATCTTTCTGGGATTTTGGACCCTGACGCTTGCCTGATGACATCATATTTGTTGTGTCATTTGCCTCCTTTGTAGAAACTCAGCAACTTCCCTGAAGCCTTCAGAGGCCCTCTAAGACGTGAAAATTAAGGGGTGAATTTCTGGAGTTTTGTTCTGTTGCAGTGCATCCATTTCCAGGGTCCAAGAAAAAAAAAACATTCAAGAGAAGAGCTGAATTCACACACCACCCTAAACCAGACCAGTAACTGACTGAGAATTTGAACAACTTATTAAACTTAATATTAACTTTTTATTATATTGTTATATTATTATTATATCTCAGTGGCTGCCACAAAGAAAAGGGAGGCAAACTATTCTCCAAAGCACCTGAAGGCAGGACAAGGAGCAACGGATGGAAACTAACCAAAGAGAGAAGCAACCTAGAACTAAGAAGAAATTTCCTGAGAGTTAGAACAATTAACCAGTGGAACAACCTGCCTCCAGAAGCTGTGAATGCTCCAACACTGGAAGTTTTTAAGAAAGACTGGACAGCCATTTGTCTGAAATGGTATAGGGTTTCCTGCCTGAGCAGAGGGTTGGACTAGATGACCTCCAAGGTCCCTTCCAACTTATTATTATTATTATTATGGATCATTGAACAGTCAGCCAGATGTTCAGACTGGATTTGGCATTTTGTCTACCTATCGAGTCCTTACCCAGGACCTGGGATAGGCAGATGTGGATGTTTGATGGTATTACAGATATCGTCGCAGGATAGAAGCAGTTCCTAGTAAGGCCGCCTTTTGCAATTGACTAATAGGGAATTTGTCAATGCCAATGGTGTTCAAGTGGTGCTCAGTTGTTTTGGGATTGCACCCAAGGAGCCTATGACTATTGGTACTACCCCTGCTTGCTTTTGCCACAGTCTTTCTATTTCTATTTGTAGGTCTTTGTATTTTGTTATCTTCTCCAGTTCTGTCTCTTCTATTCTGCTGTCTCCAGGCACTGCCACGTCCACTATCCAGACTTTTTTGTCTTTCTTATCGACAATTGTTAAGTCTGGGGTGTTATGTTGCAGGTGCTTGTCTGTTTGAATTCTGAAGTCCTAGAGCAGTTTAATTTTATCATTTTCTATGAGTTTCTCTATTTTATGATCCCACCAGTTTTTGCTTACAGGCAAATGATATTTTTTGCAGATCTTCCAATGCACCATTGTTGCTACTTTGTCATGCCGCTGCTTGTAATCAGTCTGTGCAATTTTCTTGCAACAGCTTACCAAGTGGTCCACTGTTTCTTCAGCTTCTTTGCATAGGCGGCACTTACTGTCTGTTGCTGTCTTCTCAATTTTGATTTTGTATGCGTTTGTCCTTAAGGCTTGGTCTTGTGCAGCCAGAATTAGTCCCTCGGTCTCTTTCTTCAATTTTCCTGCTCTTAGCCATTGCCAGGTTTTATTATTATCTGCTTTTCCAGCTATTTTTTCATGTATTGGCCATGTAGTGCTTTGTCTTCCCATGCCTCTATTCTGTTCTTCATTTGGTCTTTCCTGTAGGCCAGTTTGGTCTCTCCAGTAGCTAGTAAGCCTTCCTGATATACTAATTTCAGTGCATCTTCATCATTGTTCTTCAGATATTCTTCCAAAGCCATTTTTTCTTCTTCAACCATCTGATGTACTTGTAGCATTCCACGCCCACCTATTTGCCTTGGTAGATAAAGTCTGTCAATGTCACTGCGTGTATGAAGGGCATGATTCATTGTCATTATTTTTCTGGTCTGCCTATCCATTGCTTTTAGTTCTGCTTGAGTCCAGTCCACTATTCCAGCTGTGTACCTAATGACTGGGATTGCCCAGGTGTTGATTGCCTTTATGGTATTTCCTCCATTGAGTTTGGACTTTAAGATCTTCTTCACTCTCTTGATGTATTCACGTCTAATCTTTTTCTTGACTTCAGTGTGCTTGATGTTGTCAGCTTGAAGAATACCCAAGTATTTGTAGTACTCTTCCTCATCCAGACTCTTAATGTTATTTTCGTGGGGCATCTTGATTCCTTCAGTTTTCATTATTTTTCCTTGTTTGATAGTAAGTGTGGCACATTTGTCCAAGCCAAAATCCATTACAATATCTTGGCTATATATATGGACAGTGTTGAGCAGCGATTCTATTTCAGATGATGTTTTTCCATACAGCTTCAGATCATCCATGTAAAGGAGGTAGGATAGTCTAGCAGATGTTTTTGATGTTTGATAACCATGTCCTGAGTTATTCAGTATTGTTGACAGAGGAAACAGTGCAATAACAAATAGTAATGGTGGTAATGAATCTCCTTGAAATATTCCTCTCTTGATATTAACCTCTCCCAGCTTCTCACCATTGATCTGCAACTGTGTCTTCCATTGTGCCATCAATCTTTGCACAAATTTTCTGATGTTTCTACTGACTCCTGTTATTTCTAGGCACTTTATTATCCAATCATGTGGCAGAGAGTCAAATGCCTTTTTGTAGTCAATCCATGCCACATTCAGGTTGGTCTTCCTTCTCTTGCAGTTTTCCAAGATCATTTTGTCTATTAGGAGTTGATCTTTTGTTCCTCTGCTATTGGGGCGGTTTCCTTTCTGCTCAGGTGGAAAGAGATTGTTTTCAACTAGATGCTGTTGTACTGCATCAGCTACCACACCAGTTAGTAATTTGAAAGTTGTTGGTAAGCAGGTAATTGGCCTGTAGTTACCTGGTGTTGCCCCTTTTGCTGGATTTTTCATTATTAGGTAGGTTTTTCCCAGTTGTTAGCCACTTTTCAATTTCTCCTCCTTGTAGTATATTGTTGAACTGCTTGGCAATGAGTGGGTGTATAACAGTTAGATGTTTCAACCAAAACCCATGCAGTTCATCTTCACCTGGTGCTGACCAATTTTTGATTTTCTTTGCTCTTTTTTCTACCATTTTTGTTGTTATTACTAGTTCTTTCATTTCAACTTCTGTTTTATTTGCATCCACCTCTTTTAACCAAGCCGCATCCTTGTTGTATTTCTTTGGGTTATCCCATATCTGCTTCCAGAACTGCACTGTTTCTTCCTTGTCAGGTACTGACTGATTCCTTGCAGTTTCTCCATTGATGGATTGGTAGAAACGTTTCTGATTGGATTGAAATTGGAGGTTCTGCCTATAGTTTGCAATTCGAGCTTCATATCTACTGATTTTCCTGGCTATAGCTGTTATTTGTTGCTTTATTATTTCCAGTGCTTCCTTGATCTTCCTTGTTTCTAAGTGGTATTTCTTGATTAGGTATTCTTTGGTCTTCTTGTTCTTCAGCTTCTTTTCTTTCATCTGTTCTAGCTTGCTTGCATGTGATCTTAACTTGCTGATCTTATTTTCTAGTCTAACCTTCCATTTTTGTGATGCACTGTTTGTTTGTTTTTCTTCTTTGTTGATTTTGCATCCCAGGTATTCAGTTATAACTGCAGCTGTGCTGTACATTAGTTGGTTTGTTTCTTGCAGTGAATTGGTGCTTATACTTGCTATTGCAGTATTTGCATCTTTTAATGCTTGTGCTAGCTGTTTCTTTGGAACAAGCTTCAATGCAGGCAGCCTTATTCTGTTGTTTTTGTGCTGTTCTAGATGCTCAGTTATTCTTTGTTTCAATTCTTTTATTTCTTTAGTTAGAGGGTTTTGTTCTTCCTGAGGAAGAGGTGCCTGGTTTCCAAATGAGAACAGTTGTATATCTCTGCTGGATTCCTTCACTGCCAACTCCCCCTGGTTTGCCTCTACATTCTGAATTACTTCTGGTAAGGCTTTGATTTCTTTGCCCTGGGTAAACCTTTGCAGTTCGTCCAATTCTGTTTCTGTGAATATTTTATTTCGTGTTATAAATCGGCGTTGATCTGCTAGTCTCTGTTCTGTTATTTCTGATTCTGGATGTTGTTCTTTCCAGAACTGGTGCATTCGTTTTAGATATCCTCTTCTTGTTGGACTTGATCTGTAGTAACAGATCATTATTTCTTTGTTTTCCATCACTGTGTATCTGCGACGGGTAAACACCTTTTCTTCCAGTAGTTCTGCAGCTGCTGGCCCTGGTTGCTCAGCCAACAGTCCTGAGTCCTGTAACCCATTTTTCACCAGATATCCAGGAACTCCAATATCTAGTGCGGACCTTGTTAACCCGGGCGACGTCCGAGCCGGTATGGCATTCTGAAATTTACGTCTCACCATATTTTTTATGGGAGAGACACTCTTTGTCTGACTCCTCTGATGAGACCTGTCCAGTATGGTTGAACCTCTGGCATAGCTCTCATCTTCCTCAGAGTACACAAGCCCCACAACCACGTTATTATTATTATTATTATTATTATTATTATTATTATTATTATTATTATTATTATTATTAATACTATTACTATTATCTTTTATTCATTAGACATGAACCTCAGTCAACTGAACATTCAAATTGGCTGGCGCTGATGGTTGACACGGGTTGCTACCAGCATCCTAGGTGTCAACCAGGTACCTCCTTAAAATATAAGATGTTCCAAGTAGCGCAGTTTTTTATAACATTGCTGGAGTTATTGCAGGAAGCTGCAGTTTCTTGATGTATTTTGCAAAGTTTTTGGACATAGTTCCCAGTGCTCCGATGACAGTGGGTACCACTGTTACACGTTTCATGCATAATCGTGCAGTTTCGATGGCCAGATCGCGATATTTCGTAATTTTTTTTCAGTTCTTTTTCTTTGACTCTGGCATCTCCTGGTACAGCAATATCAATCAGCTGTACGCTTCGGTTCTCTACAACTGCGATATCTGGCGTGTTGTGTTCCAAATGGCGATCTGTCTGTATTCAAAAGTTCCACAAGATCTTCACCCTCTCATTCTCAACAACTTTTTCCACCCTATGTCCCCACGACTTTTCGGACACAGGCAATTTGTATTTTTTACACAATGCCCAGTGGATTAATTTAGCAACTCGGTCATGTCTAGCTTTGTAGTCAGTTTGTGCGATTTTACTGCACTCACATATTAGATGTGAAACAGTTTCAACTTTGTCATTGCAAAGTTGGTAATTAGGCAATTATGATTATTATTGTTGTTGTTAAATTTTTGTATCTCTTACAGCCTTTGCACAATAATATCATAATGCATGTGACATTCTTTGACATCCCTTGTCCCAATGTCTGCTTTGCATCATCTCCATGATCAAAATGAAGAAAACAAATTCAATTTAAGTGAAGGGGGGGTAAAAA